TTCTTCCTCTGGAAAATAATCAACATAAGAAATAATTTCATTATTTGGAAAGTCAATCAATGTACGCTGAATATCTTCTGTTAAGGGCAAATTCAATTTATTACCAGTATACATGAATGAGCGAATATAAAATGTAAATTGATTTAATCTTATCATATGATTAATAATGTTTTTCTTCAAATGATTCCCATCAATGAACGTTTTCTTAACAAAGACCACAAGACACAAACCGAGTTCTTCTAGATTTGGCATTCGATATAGAAGTGGTGGGACTAATTCACCGTAATGATGTGTTTCGTCGTTACAAGACAAAGAAAAACACTTTAGATTTGGTAAATTTCACTGAAAAAAAACAATTTTTTTTCTTTTCTTATTTGATAACATAGAGGTTTTTTTTGTAAAACTCACTTGATTTTGAATGTGATTCGGACGATGAATAGAAGTCAAATCAACATAGAGTGTGTGAAGTTGATTAAAACGACCATCAAGAAGATAAAGACAATCATCAAAAGATTGTATTCTGACATTTAATTTTAAAAGAGTTGAAGAACGAAATGTATGAGAAGGTGGATCAGCAAAATATAATGGAAGACGATTTTTATACGATGATTCATAGAATGTTAAATCAATGAGATTGGTAAAAAAGATGAAAATATAATCAAATATGTTTCTTGTTGACAATAACATTTCGTCATAATCATCATTGTTATTATTATTATGAATGGTAGTAAAAAGTGTTGTAATTTGATTTTTGAAAATACCAGATGAAAGAATCTCATCTAAATATATGAGTAGAATATTACTAAGAAAAAAATCTGTGAAAATAATTTCTTATATATTCAATGAGGGAGTCATCTATACGAATAAGTTTGATAAATCAAAGATTTGTTGAGAATCAAAGACGATGAAATAGAAATTCCTTACCAGTAAAAAGGTATCGAGCTGATTCTTCACTAATATTATAAAGACCGAGACCAAATAAATTAGGATAATGAGCAGCACATAAAATGTATTTCATCGATGATGATTCAAGATCAAGCCATTGAATTTTATGACCAATTTCAGGTAAAATTTGTGAACAAAATCGATTAAGGATTGTATCACAAGAAATTAGATCGATAAAATTATGTGAGAACCATTTAACAAAGGTTAAACGACTTGTAAAAATTCGATCTTGAATAATTTGATTTAGTCGTTGATTAAAACCTTGTAAAGAATAATGTACATCTATATTATTGAGTTTTTTCAAGATAATCATAAGAATTTCATTAGGTAATTCGTTTAATCCTATGCATGAATATTCCATGTTTGATGTTACTTATTTATTCTTTTTCGTTTATGTAAAGACAATCTTTATATATATACTCATTTACTCTATTTGACCGATATCGTCCACAATAAAAAGATAACGTATTTTTCTCTAGTCAATATTGACAATGAATTGAAAAAATGAATGAATTTTGTTCTTTCTTTTTCTTATTTGTTTAATATGTCATAAAATACACAAAATGATATTCATTTTTCATTTATTTATTTATTTTGTAGTACATATAAACACTTCAAGAATTCAGTTGACACGTAGTTAAATAAAAGTAAAAAATTATGATAACTTGAAATAAATCAATTAATAATTGTCTATTATTCAGATTATCTTATATAAATGATAGTTTTAAATATCTATTATTAAATAAACTTCATCCTTATTAATTCAAAATATTCTAATTACATTAAAAATAATAAAACAGTCAAATTAAAAAAAAAGTTTCTATTTGAGTTAAACTTCTCTATCTAATCGATCAAAAATAATATATGATAAACATATTATTGTTTCATATTCTACTGTTATGATTTTATATTATAAGAAAAAGAAACCTATTTGATTATATTCGAATTAATGATAATTAAACGATAGATTTATTGACAACATCAATTAATCTATTTAACTAAATAAGATATTTACCATTGAAATCATTCAAATAAACATTTGGTAACAATATTTTAAATGAAAAACAAAAAAAAGTTAATAATTAATTTATTGAAATAAAATCGAATTATGCATTTAAATATTACTAAAATATATTTCTCGATAGAATTAGTTCATAATAACAGT